CTTCTCTCTCTCTCTCTCTCTCTCTCTCTCTCTCTCTCTCTCTCTCTTTCTCTCTCTGTCTTTACATCATTTCGCCCACCTTAATGATCTAAAGTCTACATTATCTTAATTTTGTCTTTGGGGACAGTAAGTTTAATGATGCTTAACTGTCTTACTTTTCCCACCTCCAAATATCCATGTACGTTTGTTTGACTCTTAGCCCTGTGCGTGCTTGTATTGGTTTCATTATGTGGGAAATAACCGAAAAAGATACACCTTTATTTACGCCCGGGAGAAAGAGAGGGGGTGGGGATAGGGAAGGATGTTGAAGACTTTGGGAACACATTCCTTTCTTGGTCATGCCTTACTTGTTAAAGTAATATAGTGCTCTCTCCCTCTCCGCCCCCTTCCATTTCCTCCTTTCCCGTTGCATCGCCGCTCTTCCAGGCCTCTAAGAATACCTGTATTAACGGCCTTCCATTCTTTTCGGACCATGTTCACCTGCGAAGAAAATTATCTTCATTCATGCGGCCAGCTGCCTTGCATTCCAAGGCGATGCTTGGAATTAACATATCATCACTTCCCCTTATCTGCCAGTGATATTATGCAGGTTTCATAAAACTGACAGAATTTTGGCGAAAGGGCCATGTGTGAGGGCGATTCGTTCTTCCAGTTTTGTGTTGTGAACCACCCCAAGTGATAAATGATTGCGGAGACCTGTTGTTGGCTGGGGCCCTTGCAACGAGGCGCTTGTCCTTGTAGTGTCTTTCCTTGTAGCTTTCAGTGGAGGCTTCCAAATCTTTTTATCACTTCAAGATGCCTTTTCATCCTGTTTTTCCACCTTTCAGGTCACGTATAATATTTTCCGTGGCTTCCTTTTTTTTCGCCGAGTACCCCCATTGCTCAGTTCACGATTCTGACAAAAGTTTCAGGGGAAAGTTTATATATTATGCTCTTCAATACCTCTCTCTCTCTCTCTCTCTCTCTCTCTCTCTCTCTCTCTCTCTCTCTCTCTCTCTCTCTCTTTGTGTTTGTCTGTCTGTCTCTCTGTCTGTCTCTTTGTCTCTCTCTCTGTGTCTCTCTCTCTCTCTTATACCCATTTTGCTTCCTCATTTCTCTCTGCCTCATTTCCGCATTACAGCCCACTTCCCTCTTCCACGAGCCACAATCCTTTGTCCCGTCCGCTCTTCCGATATCTCTTGGTTGTTCTCTTTCTTTCTTTGCCTTTACTTTCCATTCTTATGTTCACCCACAATACCCCCTTGCGCGCTCCGTGAGTGTTTTTTAATTTGTTTTCAAATACAATGCCCTGGACTATCTTTTATCAGTCTGCATTTAAGAAAATGATAGAATATTTTATCAACCTGAGCAGAGAAATTTTAATCTAGAGTTTGATCTTGTTTTTGTCAGTGCTCTCAGTCAACTGGGTACATTGTACAAAATCAGTTCAGAATGCATTCTTGTCTTTCTCTTGAACTTGAACGTGGATGAAGCGCAGCGCTTGTATAGCTCTCTCTCTCTCTCTCTCTCTCTCTCTCTCTCTCTCTCTCTCTCTCTCTCTCTCTCTCTCTCTCTCTCTCTCTCTCT